AAAAAAAAAAAAATAAAAAAAAAATAACCGGGAATAATATTATTCAAAATACAGAATTAACCAGTTTCGAATAAGATTACTCGTAATTGACATAATTGACAAAATTATTGAAACACACTTCGCAGAAGTATGGCTCAATAGAATAATTGTCAAAATTGAAGAAATTATCTACTGATGTAGAAAATTGGTAAGAATAATCGGGGATTTGAATGTAACTTGGAAAGTATAGATGCGGTGGTCCAAATTGGTAAGAAAGGTCGGAAAAGACTGGAATATAATTTGGGTTAACAACATTGTTATCGGTAATTCCGGAAGGTGAGTTATCTTGTAGGCCCAGAGACGATGACTCATTGATGAGTACTAACTTTTCCTTCTGCCTAATTTCTGTTAGGCGATTTTCCACTTGTTTGGATAGATCTTCATAAGCATCCCTTACTGAAGTCGTTTCGTTGAACCACATCGAACTAATGTAAGACGATATTTTCGTCATAGACACATTTTCATCAGTTCGCTTTCTAAGCTCTTTAAGGAAAGCGAGTCTATATATGAGGTATCTATTGGGAGCTTTCGATTTAAGTCTGTCATCAGATCTACTGCTCAAGATTTCTTCAACCGTCAGTTCTGGTGGAAATGGTACTTTAAAGAGCGGAAGTACATATTTGGTTGATTTTTTAACATTCATTTTCCAAATATTATCAAATGAAGGAAAGAGAATTAGAACTGTAGAAATGAAATGGGGGAAAACCAATAGCTTATATATTTATTTTTGAATTAGCTTTATCTTTTTCTTTCTTTTGTAAGTTAAATGTAAAAAACATAAATTGTATATAAAAAGTTTATTATGAATCAATACAAAAAAAAGCGTACATTACTTTAAACATGATAAGATCAATTAATAAGATTTCATGCATAAAATTTTTGTTTTAATTGACGAAAATAGTTATTTCGACTTTGAACTTAATAACAATATTTGATGAGGCGCATAAAAGATAAACTAAATTCTAAAAAAAAAAAATTAAATAAAAAAAATCGCACCATTCCAAATCCAGTTTAGATCTTCGGTGGTACTTATTAGATTTTTTATAGTAAACGTGAAAAAATGAATTCAATTGTGATTGTGTAATTAGTATAATTAATATCCAGGTCACATAATTCAACACAGATATCTAGTTTTTTTTTATATTAAATAAAAAAAAAAACAATATTAATATATAAATTATAATATTTATTAAACAAATGACCAATTGATAGTATTTTTTTTAAAAAAAATATACTTTATCCCCTATTGATTCTTCTTGATAAGACTAATTCCGAAAAGGTAGAAAAAAAATCTACAATGATTGTATCTAAAAAGTAAAAAATAAATAATCGTCATTTAATCGTTCATTCATCATTGATTTATTTATTATTTTATACTTTCCAGTAAAAAAGAAAATTCGACCAAGATTTCCATTTAATTATGGCGTTTGTTGATATTGAATGTTACAGAATTTCAAATCGTTTAAAAGTATAAAAAAGGTATTTACATATGAAATTATCAAGAAGATATTTCTAAAATGTAAATTTATCACTTTATATCTTCACGCACATGTATTCTTTATTTACGTGTAATCCGGTTTAATTAGATACGCCATATGCAAAAAAAAATTGGACAAATAATATGACTGTACAACTCAACTTGGTGCCCCTGTTCACTACTATGTTTATCTATTGTATCTGAACGAAGCATTATTTCATTATGCTTACTAAATTGGTAAAAAAATTCAAAAATTGTAACTCTTGGTTAGTTACACTATTATGATAGATAATGAAATCAGGTATTTTTCTTCATTTTCATTTCTAGAATATATCATTGTAAGTCTGTGTGAATACGAAAGATTAAATCTATATTTGGGTATTATGAATGTTGTGAATGTTTTGAATGTTTCAACGAGTAACTAACGAGTAACTAATTAACCTTCTTCGTATCATGAAAGAACATCCAAACAAAAAAAGCGAACTGAACCCTTGTGTTTTTATTTCATATTTAATTGAATCACATGTCATGTTATTTTAGCGTAATCGATTGGTGATATGCATTGTGATAAATGATTTCTTTGACCGCAGCAGCAGCAGATCTAAATTTTCGATCAAAATTGATTTTCCCTTTTTATTCATATTGTATTCTATCCTAGTACTTTATATTCAAGATGTCGGCATTTACCGTTATATTATGTATTCTCGGATTTAAAAATCCTGTGTATTTTTAAATTTACAATGATTTATGTCATTTTAACCCATTATAGTCGATAGAATGGAAATATCGCTGTCGTTATAGGGAATACAATTCAAAGTTGGGTACTAGATCGTTTCTTTTTACGGAGAACAGTGATTTTAACTCACTAAAAAGTTTAACAGATAAATTTTATATAATATCAGATGATGCAACATACGTAAAGTATATACATAAGGTACTTTCTTTTTATTTCCAAAATTATCCAATACTTTCAAATTTAAATTTTCAGCAATATCCCGCATCTTTATGTTATTCCTCAAACCTAATCTTTAATTTAACCTTTTGACTTTCAAAAAATATTGTGCGCAGGAAGTTTAAATTTAATTTATACATAAATAATTTCGCATTTGCATCTTTCTTTAGAAATAGGACTCTAAAAAGGAAATTTTGCTTTGAATAAGAAATACATTTTGGCGTCATGGATTATTGATCTATATCTGTTTCATTTAAAAGAATATTTCCTCGCAATATTAACATAAAAGTATAATGGAATGAATTGTTATGGCGTAAATTTCGCGCTTCTACAAGATACTATTGTATAATGAAAATAATAAAAAATGTAGCACAAACACGATAAATAAGAGGATTATCAATTAGAGAGATTTCCACAAAAACAAGGGGTCTATTAAATTTTTTATTTTATTTTTAGAAAAAAAAAAAAAAAAAATATTTTTTCTTTTTTATTATTATGGATATAGGTTATAAGAAATGATTCATATAATTACTATAATGGTAGGTTAAAAACAACATTTTAATTCTTTTACTTATTAACTTTTAAATTTTCATGCATGTCGCACATGAATTGATCGTCAAAAAGTAAAGATTTTCATCTAATTTTAGATTAATTCAAGCCTTTTTATTAAATAGCCTTTTTGATACTTATTTCCGCACTTTAAATAATTTTTAGCAATTAAACCAAATTAGATTGATGTGAGTTGCCGCCATCAGGTTATGAATTTATGAAACAAAAAAAACATTACTATGAATGAACATATTTTAATCGTACAATAATAAAACGACAATACATCTGACGTCGATCATTGCAGCACAAATCACAGTCACACGATAATTGACCAATCAAAATGCGTTATTTATTATATATAAAAATTTTAAACGCGTTGCGCCTCTTATTTTTTCAGTACAGAACATAATAATAAAAACAAATAAGTTGGAAGTTATTATTTATTTGAAATATTAATCATTAATTATTTGTATATATTATTTAATCAAATATAAAAAATAAATTATAATATTAATTATTAATTAAAACAAAAAATTAAAAATGTTTAAAAATATATAAATATTAACAAAGTAATAGCGAGCAAACAATCCATATACAAAACCTACAAAACTAGGGTAAAAATTGCTGGCATAGTACTTATTATTATCATTATTTATTTAAAAAAAAAAAAAATAGAAATTTATTTGTTTCATTTTTTTTTTTTTATTTAATTGATATCTTATCTATTATTCTATTTGTTTTAACCAATTTTATATAAAAAAATTTTATATGAGAGTTATCAAATTAAAAACGAAATTTAATATTTCATAAATAAAATCTAAAAAATAATTTGACATAATTATTATAATAATATTTATTGACGTATCTAGTAATTTTTTCCATAAATTGTCAATAATGTCAATATACAATTACGTTCACCCGTCCATATTTTTGCTTATGTTCATCATCATGTGATGATCACTATCCGAGGTTTTATACATTTATATCATATTATTATAATAATATAAAGTCGTTTTGCAATCCAAAAATTATTATATTCAATCACAATTCATTAGCAATATATGATTGGATGACTACAAAATTACTAATTTACAAAGAAAAGGCAAAAAAACGAGCGAAAAAACGATAAAAAATAAAGTGAAACAAAAGAGACAAATAAAATCCAAATAATTGGAGTATCGACACTGCGTCAACGCTGTAAAGCAAAAAAATCGAAAGTACAAAATTTGTAGTAATCTTTCGTTTATAAAGCTGAAAAAACTAAGTTATAATTAAAATGAAAATTTATCAAATCTTTCATCTCGATTCTAACGGGAAATTTCATGGCACGACTGACATGATTCCGGTTAATAATCATTTGGATTAGGAAATTTGTTGTAAACAATTTGGGATGATCCTATATTAAAAACGGACATGTCGTAATACCGTAACCGCAAAAAACATGTATATGTATAACATTTATTTATCGCTGTGTTCAATTTAGTACGACCCCTAATTATCCATTTTATTTTCGACCGCTTCTTATAAAATTTTCTTGTTAATTTCTCATAATTTTGTAAACCTTTTAATAACAAACTATACACTTGCAAGATTATAAATATCTATTCACCAGATAAGAATTGGTTTTCAAGTTATGAAGTTTCATAAATTTCCTTCAATTTTTCTTTTTATGCAAAAGTTGTCTTAAAATGTTATATTTTCAAATTCAAACAAAAGTTTACTTTTATTTAAATTAATAAATTTTTTATTTATATTTTAATAAGTTTAAGTTTTATTGAATAAACCAACCAATCTTTGTTTGTTTTTTTAGAAAATTAAAAAAAAAAATTTCAATTTCGTCTGAAATTAATCACGGAATACAGTTAAATTCTATTGGCTATCAATGACTGGTAATAATAATTTTATTGGCTTTTAACGTTAATCTAATCATCACGTGCGTGAAAAAATCAGATGTGATGAAAATTGAAGGGTCACACTAAATTGTAAATCGCTGACGTCATAATTCACGATCTTGAATTTTGAATTTATAGACATTTTTCTGAGCTCAAAATTAACGATTAGGTGATGTTTATCTTTTTTCGTTTTGTTCTCTTGTTAATAATAATTTCATAAATCATGTTTTTTCGATATTACAATGAATAGCTAGTGACCCAAATGACCTCAAATGACTTGTCATATGCATTTTGTCTTGGCCTGACCTGCCGCCGCGTAAAGTTATTATCTCCCTAATTTATACATTTTAAAGTCTAATAAGAAAAATATAAATTTTGAGTACAGCACATTATTAAAAAAAATAAAAATAGCCATCCTATTAACTTCAAAATTCACCTTTAAATCTTCTTTATGATATGTAGGACTTCTTAAATGAACCTATAAAGAAAAAAAGAGAATTTAAAAGTAAAATATTTTGAAAATTTTTAGATCTAAAAGATAAAAAAATAAATAAAAAGAAAAATAAAAAACTAGTAAAAATTTTTTTGGAAATAACTATTCATACAACTCACTAATCAGACATAGCTTAAGTTGAACCGACTCGTCGGTTTTATTTCGGTCCCGGTCCCGCTTAACTAAAGTAAAATGTGAGTTACAATGTATCAAATTTAAGAAAACAGGTAGAATGATCGATTAGAAAAATTTTGATCGGCCATCAAAAGATAGATAGTTTGTCCGTGACAACCCGAATTTTTTATGAAGTCAGCTTCGGGTTGATTTTAAAAAATAGTTAAAACTTCAGGAGGTCTAGAATCTGCTGAATTAGAATCGGTTTTAAGTTTTTATTTTAATGCAAATAAAATAAAAAAAAAATTTCAATCGATTCGTATACTTAACTAATATGAAACTTTACGGTGCCGTCAGTAATAAGTACAATTATGAAACGCTTATACTGTATCCCCCAATTAAGTTATAAAAGCATGGCGAAATTAACTATTATTTAGGCATCTTTCACCTGATAAAAATGCCCGAAATAATCTGTAAAACTTAAAAAACAAGTGTGGAAAGCAATTTCGTTACAGATTCCTATATCTTCCTAAAACTTTGTTCATCAATTATTTATTAATACAAAGAAAAACAAAAAAGTAAAAGACAAGAAATGGAAAGAGAGTGAAATAAATACACCGTACCTCGAGACATAAATATTAATTTTTGCTAGTCAAAATACTATCTCAAAAAACATCAGAATCATCGTAGTAAACGTTATGACCGTATATTTAACGTAAATAGCCCTCCTAAAACTCACTATAAAGAGGTATTTGTTGTTGAGAATTCGATTTTTCAAATAAAAAGAAAGTTTATTAATTGGAAAATGCGTAAACATGAAGTTCTGGTCGTGTAGGATATCTGAAAAATCGGCGGGACGAGTTGTCCTAACTCATTGGATTCACTTTTAAACATTTTCTAAAATTTAATAACATTTAACAAGAATAATTATCAGGCCTGAAACTCATCATTCTTGTGAGAAAGAATCCCAAAAGTATAACTACACAATAAATTGTAAATGAGTCAAAGAAAGATCACTCAAAGAAAAAAAATTACCATTTCAAGAAAAGCTATTGTAAAATCATGATTAATAATGGATTTTACCATTATTCGCATATCTAAATAATGTGAAGAAATAGAATAATATCTTATATTAGAAGAATTTCTTCCATACCTACGTTAAATTTACGCCTAAAATTTTGACAAGAAATATTATTAAGTATTTTCATAGCGATAGAAAAGCAAAAAGCCGAAGTATTATTTGATACAACTCAATAATAAATTTATTGATACAAATAAATTACTCAAGTTATTCAAGTGAATTAATTCAGCAATTGATATTACAGTTAAGTGAGTTAACATTTAAAAATTTAGAAAAATTTAATTTTTTTACATACTATATTATCTTAAAGTTCTATTCTTTTAAAACGTCAACTTCATTTCTTCATTGTTAAATATAAATCCGACATAAGATTGTTCTTCATAGAATGATATAAAAAATATCTTATGAAAAATATTTAATATATTCGCTTGATAAGTAATTCATAAGTATAATTAATTCATTTAAGGTAGCGGTATTGGTGTGAGCTTAGTTACTAATCAGGTCTATAAATTAGAATTTAAGAATGAAAATGAAGAAAAATGTAACATGTTTCCTTTATTTAAAGAGAATCTTTTAAAGAAATTTCATAACATGTGAAAGGTTTGTACATCTGGTGAAAGATTTATCGAAACACAACAAGGTGTGATTTTATCATTGTCAATCGGTGATACGAGTTATGTCACAACATATAAATTTTTAAGCATATAATAGCATTTTATCATATATTTTTTATTTTACTTATTTTTTTTTTTTTTGTTACAAGTTTAAAAGGATCTTAATGTAATAAAATCATAATTTAGGATGATGAACTATTGGACTTAAAGGTTCTTAATGTAAAAAATCATAATTTAGAATGATGAACTATTGGTTTTAAGATTTGATTGATGTAAAGAATTCGGAAGACGATATAAAGTGAAATAAACGAAAAAAAAAACAACGAAAATAATGACGACATAAAAATACGAAAAAAAATTGAAATAAACAATACTGAAAAATGAATTTAGGTTTACCCATAATTAATAAAATTATTCCAGCATATTTCACAAGAGCATAAATCAATAGAAAAATGGTTTTGTGTAAAAAGCTGGTATGAAGGATTAAAATAAGGGAATTGAACATTTACGGTAATCTCTGATGGGAAGTGTGGAGGCGGAGACTGTTGTAGTGACAGAGGATATAGTGAGTCATAAAGTTGGTAGGAGGGATCAGAAAGGATTGGAATATGTCTTGGACTAACACCATTGTTGTATTCAGTAATTCCGGATGGTGAGTTATCTTGTAGGCCCAGAGACAATGACTCATTGACGAGAACTAATTTTTCCTTGCGCCTTATTTCCGTTAGGCGATTTTCCACTTGTTCGGATAGATTCTTATAAGCATCCATTACTGCAGTTGTTTCATTAAACCACATCGAACTAATATAAGATGATATTTTCGTCATAGACACAATATCATCAGTTCGCTTTCTAAGTTCTTTGAGGAAAGCGAGTCGGTATATGAAGTATCTATTGGGAGCCCTTGAGTTAAGTCTATCATCGGTCCTATTACTCAAGACCTCTTCAACTGTCAGTTCTGGTGGAAATGGTATTTTAAAGAGCGGAATTTTATATTTGGTTGATTTTTTAACATTCATTTTCAAAATATTATCAAATGAAGGAAAGAGAATTAGAACTGTGGAAATAAAATGGGGGTAAACCAGTAGCTTTATATATTTATTTTTTTGAATTAGCCTTATCTTTTTTATCTTTTGGAAATTAAATGTAAAAAACATAAAATTGCATATAAAAAGTTGACTATAAATCAATATAAAAAAAAAGCGAACATTACTTTAAACATGTTTAAGATCAATTAAAAAGATTTCAAAGATTTCATACATAACATTTCGTTTTAATTTACGAAAGTAGTTAGATAATTTTTTCCGCCTTTGAACTCTAAAAAAAAATTAAATAAAAAAAATCGCACCATTCCAAATCCTGTTTAGAAAAATAAAAATATATGTATATACACTATAATTACTAAAACCCTTCGCGGTGGCGCTTAATAGATTTTTTATAGCAAACATAAATTAATTCAATTGTGATTGTGCAATTAAAATAATTAATATCCAAGTCACATAATTATATTTATTTATTAATATAACTGATAAGGTTCAATTTATGACCGGTAACAGTCACACAGATAATCTAGTTTTTTTTATATAAATAATAAAAAAAAAACAATATAATATATAAATTATAATATTTATTAAACAAATGACCAATTGAAAGTATTTTTTAAAAAAAAATACTTGTCCCCTATTGATTCTTCTTGATAAAACTAATTCCGAAAAGGTAAAAAAAAAAAAAAACTACAATGATTATATCTAAAAAGTAAAAAATAAATAATCGTCATTTTAATCGTTCATTCATTAATTTATACTTTACCAGTAAAAAAAAATTCGATGAATTCGTCCAAGATTAAATTTAATTATGGCGTTTGTTGATGTTGATTGTTACAGAATTTTTTAAAAAAGTATGTACATATGAAAATACGTCTAAAATGTAAATCAATTACTTTATGATGTTATAGTATCTTCACGTATATATAATATTATTTATTTACGTGTAATCCGGTTTAATTGGATACGCCATATGCAAAAAAATTGAACTGTACAACCCAACTTTGGTGCCCCTTGTCCACTACTACTGTATATTTATTCATTTTATCTGAACTTTGATAACGTATCTCATAATCTATTAATCAGAGGAAACATTATTTCATTATGCTTACTAAATTAGTAGTAAAAAAAAATTGTAACTCTTAGTTGTTACACTTTATTACTTTCTGATCCGTTAATATCCTATATTTTTTCTTCGTTTTCATTTTCTATTGTAATAAGTCTTTGTGAACACAATTAAAGAAAGATTAAAATTTTATTTTTAGGAATTATGAATGCTGTGAACGTTTCATTCGTTTCAAAGGGTAAACTAATTAACCTTCTCCGTCTCATGAAAAAAAAAAAAAAACATTTAAACAAAAAAAGCGAACTGAAACCTTATGTTTTTATTCATATTTAATTGAATCACATATCACGCGTAATCGATTGTGATATATATAGTCAATGCATTGTGATAAATGATTTTCTTTGACCGCAGCCAGATCTAATTTTTCGATCAAATTGATTTTCCCTTTTTATTTATATTGTTATTCTATATCCTGACAACTAGTAATTAATATTCAGGAGACTCGGCATTCACCGTAATATTATTTATATTTTTCGGATTTAAAAATCCTGCGTAATTTTTAAAATTACAATGATTTATGTCATTTGATCCAATATATTATAGTCGATATAATGGAAGTATCGCTGTCGTCATAGGGAATACAATTCAAAGTTGGATACTAAATCGTATCCTATTTCGGTGAATAGTGGTTTTAACTCACTAAAAAGGTTAACAGATAAATTTCATATGATGCAACATACGTAAGGTATATACGTAAGGTACTTTCTTTTTATTTCCAAATTATCCGACAATATCCTGCATTTTTATGTTATACAACTTTAATTTAACCTTTTGACTTTCAGAACTTATTATGCGCATTAATTTATACATAAATAATTTCAATATTTGCATCTTTCTCTAAATAATTAGAACTCTAAAAAGGAAATTCCGCTTTGAATCAGGATTACATTTTGGCGTAGCGGATCAACTTTTCATGGGGCCAAATAATTTTTAAGTTGATGATAATTATATTGATCTATACCTGTTTCATTTAAAAGAATATTTCACCATAAATGTATAATGAAATGAGTTATTCTGGTGGAAATTCCATACTGCCGCAAGATACCGTATAATGAAAATGATAAGTGTGATAAGGTGACCTTACCCTATCTATTTACCGATAAAAGCAGATTTATAATTAGCACAAAAACAAAAAGACTTTTACAGACATATAAATGAAACACCACATATCCCTATAAAAAAAATTTTCAGAAAAATTATCACGTGTCTGAGTTTCTTTGGAGTTAAAACTAGAAAAATGATCATTTATCGGAGTTTTTTCCAGAATTTTTTTATAGGGATAAACAGATTTGATTTTATTCTAACGTGCATTGATTGCATTCACCACAAATTTTTAAAGAAATCTTTCTAAGTATTAATTATTATGATCATTAAATTTGTTGCTTTATAAGTCTAGAAAAAAATATTTATTATTTTTTACGAATATAGATTATAAGAAATAATTTCAGTTAATAATCTTTCATATAACTACTATAATAGTAGGTTAAAAACAACATTTTAATTCTTTTAGTAAGTGTAATTTATAAACGGTTAAAATTTTTATGCCCGTCGCACATGAATTGATCGTCAAATAGCAAGGATTTTCATCTAATTTTAGACTATACGTTTATGAGTGACGTTAATAGTCTTTTTGATGCATATGTAGATCATTTTTAGTAATTAAACTAGATTAGGTTATGTATGGCAACATCGCCACCAGATTATCTCTGAGAGTAGAAAGAAAATAAAACAAAAAAAAGAAACATTACAATGAACAACAATCTTGACAAAATTTAATTATACTAGGTATTTATAATTATAATATCACATTAATCCGATTAAGGGTTAATCAATTTAATAACCAATTAATCGGATTAATTGGATTATGTTAAATCGGTTAAAATGCAGATCATCTCGGAATAGATGTGGAGATTGGTAATTATTACTTCAATTAGTTAATTTGATTTTGTAAAAAAATAAAAAAGAAAATTTTTAAAACAAACTTTTTTTATTATATTACATCTTTATAAAGTAGCTATCTAACATGAATGATAATGAACTGAATGATGATTGCTCTGAATATAGAAATGTTGAAAGCATTGAATGTCATAGTACTAATCTTTTTTGAGTGGTGGATCACAATAAACAAAGATTTCCCATACTAGTAATATTAGCACGCAAATAAATATTGTCTATCCCAATGACTTCTGTCCCCAGCGAATGCTTATTTTCAGGATGCTAGAAATAGTATGACAAAAATAAACAGACACACTTTAGTCCAAAAGTTTTTCAAGAAATTCTTTTCATTAAAAGAAATCCACAATAATTATATTGATATGTTCACACTTGCTGCTAATAAAGTAATATTTTAATTACATAATTGAAACATTCTCTTATAGTAAACTAATAACTTTATCGTTCTTTAAACATCCAAATAAAAATTTCTTTGGATCACGTGACAGGTGGTAAAATTTTAACGAGAATATTCAAATTTTACAAATAATCATGGCGTACATATTTTTTATAATTGATCATATTCTAATTACATTGGTTTTAAAAATTATAGAAATTTTATAATGTGATGAACATTTCATAATACTAAAAATTTCAACCCAAAGTGTTTAGTAGATTAACGAAGCATCATAAACAATATGATTATGCATACAAAGTAATTTTTATAAGTATGTAATTAACGAAATAAAAATAATAATTGTTTAATGGACGAATATTTTATTTATTTTAGGAAATGTTCTTTCTGTACTTCAATTGATATAACGAGAATAAGATCATAGGTTACTTTTCTCGTTTAATAGATAGAACCACTTTAAATGAGACGCAGTCACGCAGACAACTTTCCATTTTCCAAACACTTCCCCCGAAAATTATTCCCGCTGACAGGATAATACCTCGAATTTTAGTTATTAACGTATATCACAACGATTATTTTTCTGTTATTAATTTTGTTTTTACTTTAAGGACAAAAGAAAGTTGAGATTTAGAGTAAACGAATCCTAATTTCAAAGAAATACTTTAAGAGACATCCTTGAAAAGACATCCGTATAAAAGATAAAAACAACTAGTAATGTGATCATTAGACTTATAAATTTTACCCCTCGAAATCATATAACTTGTACTTTGACGAAAAAATATTTTTTATGTAATAATACATATGGGCGTGCGTCAGTTAAAAAGGGGGAAATCTACGTTTTCATCATTTTGAGGAAAAACATTTTGCTTTCGTGCGTCAGTTAAAAGAGGGGAATTTGGTGGCTAAACTTTTATCCATATCATGTGACTTCACATTAATCATTTACGTCATGCTATTGCTAAATAAGTCAATGATCGTCAAATAATCAAATGATCGTNATATATTAAATTGGAGACTTTTAATATCATTCCCGCCAAACCTTATCATCAAATGTATCAATTTTCATTAAAATCATTCCACCTATATGGGCGTGCGTCAGTTAAAAAGGGGGAAATCTACGTTTTCATCATTTTGAGAAAAATGAAATTAACTTATTTGCAAGAAAAAACATTTTGCTTTCGTGCGTCAGTTAAAAGAGGGGAATTTGGTGGCTAAACTTTTATCCATATCATGTGACTTCACCTTAATCATTTACGTCATGCTATTGCTAAATAAGTCAATGATCGTCAAATAATCAAATGATCGTCCCTATAGCATATTTCAGTTATTTGATTTTATTTCGATAATTTATTATGCTTATCGGCATACAATATTAAGTGAAAATAGTGTACATTGATGGTTTACACAATATAAGCCAAAAATCTCAAATTTGGTTTTGAGGTAGATTTCCCCCTTTTTAACTGACGCACGCCCATATAATAATACACTTATTAGAATTACCGAAAGCTCGCTTACATTTTAACATCATGTAATATTTCTCGTTGTTATTAAACGTTCAATTAAAAAGTTACAACTTCCTATCGATTGACTTGAATATTTTAGGCCACGCAAATTAATATTTTAACATTAAAATTTAAAATTGACCCGGGACCGGTTTTATTTTTCACTAATAAAGAGTTTTTATAACTACCCCAAGAACACCACCAAAAAATTTTCGGTGACGTGACTTTGTACTACTAATCTAAAAATAGTAGATATATCAATGAAAGTAATATTTTAGTTCTTACTTC